CTTTCTGGGAGTGTTTCGTCATAAACGCCATCCTGGCAGTCTCTCCTGCGATTGCAGGCGTGGCTGCTGACAGCGCCTCGGTGTCGACGTAGCTGAAGATATTCTTCAGCAAGCCCAATTCAACCATCTGTGACCCATCTGGCCCCAACACTGGAGTGTCATTGTCCTGCGCAGATGGCGTTGGCCCTTCTGGCGGAGCCTTTGACGGCGCTCCTGTCTGAGGCGCCTCTTGCTGCTGCTCGCTGCCGGCTGCCGCCCCAGGAGGGCCCCCCGGCGCGGGATGGTCAGCCGACACGGGCTCCTTCTTTACAGAGATGTCCTTCTCGCCCTCCTTCGCGGCGCTGCTGTCCTCTGCAAAGCCGCCAAGCTCGGTCTCGCCATCATCATCCGCATCTAACTCTCGTTGTGCCCCAGCTGGATCCTCCGACGCACCCACCCCGTTCAGCGTCAACGCAACCCTCGTGGTATCTTCCAGAAGGTGTTTCGTCCCAGCAGTTAGCTGCCGAGAGATTTTTTGGATGAGCGTCGACCAGACGGCGACCCACACCCCGGGAGCCACGCCGATCAAGCGACCATCCATGATCGCAATCTCCCGAGCAACAGCAGGTTTGCCACCTAGAACCCCGCTCACCATGAGCTCCTGGAGCTTCCCTGACAAGAGTTGCAACGCACGTGTATCCAACGGGTCCTTTCTCTCGTCTGTGAGCGTGATGATAAGTTCTTTTGTCGCTCCTGCTCGAAGAAACAATCCCGTGAGGCTGTGCAAAGTATACGCGCTCCGCCTGGACAACAACTCGTTCGTGACATCGACATCAGGGAAAACCTCAAGCACGTTCGACGGGATATCTCGGCCGACATGTGCCATCTCCTGGCCGATGGTCTTGCACATACTGAGCCAATGCTCGCTGATGCACTCCTGCATGAGCGGCCACAACACCGTAACCACGTCTTTCAAAGAGGCCGTTGGCTGAAATGAATCGGCTCCCGTGGTAGACATGAGCTGGTTAATGAAGTTCTGTCCTCAGCCCCCCCCCCCCCTAACATGGCCATGATGTTGCCCCACCAGCGCGAAGGATCTGACACCCCACATTTTAGCTCAGACTTGCATGTTCTGCGTTCTGACAAGGTTTCAAGGCAGACCCAACCGTGGTGACCAGGTCCCCTGGAACCCCAATCTCCAGGAAACAGGATGTCACAGCACATGGTGTGACGTCTCCTCCGGGGGGTCCTGGGTGGGCGTCAAGTCAGTGCCATGGCGCGGACGATATCGCAACTCAATTGGCGAGGAGGAGGAGGAGGAGGAGGAGGAGGATGAGGAGGAGGAGGAGGAGGAGGATGAGAAGGAGGAGGAGGAGGAGGATGAGGAGGGGGAGGAGGAGGAGGAGGAAGAGGAGGAGGAGGAGAAGGAGGACGAGGAGGAGGAGGAAGAGGAGGACGAGGAGGACGAGAATGACGAGTAGGAGGAGGGGGAGGAGGGGGAGGAGGGGGAGGAGGAGGAGGATGAGGAGGAGGAGGAGGAGGAGGATGAGGAGGATGAAGAGGAGGAGGAGTAGGAAGAGGAAGACGAGGAGGAGGAGGAGGAGGAGGAGGAGACCTGGCCACAATTTCAAGGCGGACCAAACCGTGGCAACCAGGCCACCCCGAACACCAATATCTGAGAAACATGGTGTCACAGCACGTGGTGTGACGCCTCCTCCGGGGGGTCATCGATGGGCGTCAAGTCAGTGCCATGGCCCTTCCCAAATCCCAGTCCGAGGGATTGAACTGCTGGCTGGTACGCTACGGGCACCCTGCTGTTGTTGGCTGCGCAGAACTTCTTGAAGTTGCTGAAGCGCTCGTCCTCGTCGTCGGCCATGGTGACAACCATCTTCGCGTTCTCTGAGAGATCCGATTCGGCCTCCCGGCGCGCTGACTCACGCGTCTTGAGGGCTGCAGCGATGCTGTCCTTTGTAATGCCTGGGCGGCTCCTGATGGATTTTTCAGCACATTTCCGGGCAGCCTCCACGATCACCCTCTTCAGTTCTACGCGTAGGGAGGACCAGCCTTTGATTAACTTCCTACCCATAGTGACCTGCTCTTTGAATAGAAATTCGAGGGCGATGGAGAAAGCGTACTCTTTCAAGGGACGGCACGTCGAAGATCTGTCCTCCGTGGGCCAACCAACCGTGGCGGCTTCGATCGACGAGTCAACCACGAGCTGCAGGTCCTCGAGCCAGGTGATGGGCCGGCTCAGCGCAAAATCTGAGGAGACCAAGCTGTCGACGAGGCTGACTGCATCAACGAACTGGATGGGCTTCATATGCTGCAAGCGGGGCAACTCGCTGCTGGCAGGCGTCGGGGATTCCCCCGCACCCGTTGCGGGTTGAGCGTCGCCGTCTGTCGCAGGGGGGGCAACTGGAGGCGAAGCTGCATCGCCTTCACCAGGGACCTCTGCCTGTTTCCTGCGTTTGGCGTTGGGCTTCGCCTTGCCTCCAGTGCCTCGCTTTTTCTGTTTGCTCACGTCTGGCGCTTGCGCTAGAGATATGCCCAGCTCCCTGCACTTTTTCAAGTCTGCGATGGCCGCCACGTAGACTTTGGATTGGGATATATCTGTGAGCGCCAAATTGAACATGGCAGGTTGGTCGGCCCGGCCTTGCGTAAAGAAGATCCACGGGGGGCGGGTGCCATCCGAACGCAGGGCTACGTCAACAATGCCCATCTCGTCGAGCACTCCAGATCTCTCTCTGATGGGATCAGGGGCATCATCGCCCATGCCTGCTGAGATATCCTCCTCCTCCTTCTGAGAAGTCGTTGGGACCATGAAGGCAAAAGCTTGGAAAGCAAAAATCTCGAGGTTCTCCTCTGACAGCACGTCTTTCACTTGCTTTTTGGATATGAACAACAACCAATTATTCAGTGTACTTATGACCGAAGATGTTTTGACGCGACCGTCATTGAAGCAAGTGATCGCGAACATGTGCGCTCTCCATTTTTGTTCCCATCCAAGCTCGTCAAGTTTAGAAATGAGTGCTTTCGCATTCTCGAAGACACCCATGGTCGGTATGATTTCCCCTTTGGGGGGGACCAAATCTTTATGGTTCGAATTGATCCACTCCCACGTCTTGGACCGGAGTGAGTCTTTGCCTTTGGCGCCAACGACTTTATGGATTTTGTTTGCATCTGCATGGGCGAGCCACTGCGCATCAACGATTCGAACCCAATCGATAGTCTCAACGAAACTCACACCTCCAGTGACGAATTGGTTGGAGAAATCCCGAATCCACGCAACGCACTCCTTGGGCATCCTGGAACTGAAAGCAATGACGTGCAATCCATTTCTTTCCGTGCACTTGACGTTTGGATTGTCAGGGAACTGCTGCTTAGCTATGTAGAAACCCTTGGCGTAGTGCGCAAATGTTATCATGTTGTGGGGCAACGTGTCACCGTGGGATAATTGAGAGAAAGCAGACCCGCGGTTCTCCTCGACCACGCCATATTTTTTGATACTGTGAACTGCGTGGCGAAGAGTGTGACTTTGCTCCCGGTCATTGTCTTTGTGCCTCACGAAATTTTCCTGCCCAGCCGAACCAAACCATGCCGTCGAACATGACATCTGCTTCACCTGAGGGATAAAAGAAAAACCCTCCTCCTCTTCCTCCTCCTCCTCCTCCTCTTCCTCCTCCTCCTCCTCCTCCTCCCCCTCCTCCCCCTCCTCCCCCTGAGGCATGCTGGGACGCTCTGCTTCCCGTGATGCGGCTGCTTCAATGCGAGCCGCCGGGTGGGACAGCACCACGATCAGAAGCATGCTTGGATTGCTTCAGGGTAGGAGGTAATACCATCTCCGGGGTTTGGGGGCCCCGCGCAGTGATTGATGGTTCCCGGCGTATCCGTTTCAATTTTTGTTTGCGTGGAGGGGGCTACTCCACGTTTGTAGCTTGACAGGTTTGCCTGAGGGTCGGATGCAACTATTGACAAGTTGTGGATCCTCATAGGGCGTGCGCGTGCACGAAATCTTCGGTTGTAAGCCGGTCCTAGAGCGTCTAGTCTGCCCAGACATCGAACTGTGCTCCAGAGGCGTGCGTCGTCGTCCTCCCCCTGATCCTCCTCCTCCTTCTCCTCCTCCTCCTTCTCCTCCTCCTCCTCATCCTCCTCCTCCTCCTCCCTCCTCGTCTTCCTCATCCTCCCTCCCTCCTCCATCCTCCTCCCTCCTCCCTCCTCCCTCACTCCTCCTCCTCCTCCTTCTCCTCCTCCCCCTCCTCCTCCTCCTCCTCGTCCTCCTCCTCCTCCTCCTCATCCTCCTCCTCCTCCTCCTGCTCCTCCTCCTCCTCGTTTTCCTCCTCGTCTTGCTGCTTTTTGGCTGCCAATCCACAGGCCCCCCACCGATCCCATCGTTCACCGAATGTTTGCCCCACCCTTGGGGCAAACAATTTGTGAATGTCCACGGGCCCTCGCCAGGCGACCGTTTAGATTGCCACGAGAGCGTGCCAGGGGACTGTTTCAAGTTGCCACAATCCTGGCTCATTCCCAGGTTTTGCGGCGCCCGCGCCCTGCCTTTCTGCAGGTCAGAAGGGGGGGGCTGTCAACCAGGGCTTTGCCCTGGTGGGGAGCGCCGTCCTCCTTTCGCGCTCCTCCGCCCTCCCCCCTCTCCCTCTTTGTAAGTGGCATTATATAAAGCAACCAGGGCAAAACCTAGAAGAGGAGAACCTAGGGGGGCTGTCCTCTTCTAGGTTCCTGCCCCCCCTCCAAAGATGGGCGGCCGAACGGTTGTGAGTTTTCCTCGCCTTGCCGGGCTGTTTCAGAGAGTGCTGTGCGTCATCCCAAGCGTCCTCTGCACCCTCTGATCCGTTGCTTGGCTCTCCGCGTTGGGTCCGCCGCCCGCAGCCTTCCTCCTCCTCCTCCTCCTCCTCCTCCTCCTCCACCTCCTCCTCCTACTCATCTTCCTCATCCTCCTCCTCCTCTTCCTCCCAGTCCTCCTCCCTGGGGGGCGCGAGAGGGATTCTGCGACTCCAGAGCCCGCAGACCTCGTAGCAAGTCCTGAGCTTTTGAAGCCGCACGACCCCAGCTGTGTTCGGGAAGCGTCGTTCGATGGGGATGTCTGGGGCGTACAGCAGCTCCTCTGGCGCCTTCAGCTCTTCTGGGCTACCGGCATCACCTGGTAAGGTCGAGCTTTGACCAGCAATACTGTCCACAGATGATATATCAGCCATAATGCCGTGGAAATATTGCAGGCCGGAGTGTGTGAACAAGTTGTACAGGGCAAATATGGATGCAAGGTGGCTAGAGTACATCATATGCAATAGCTCTTGAATGGAACACAGCTGCGGGTGACTGTCATTGAGACGTGTTTGGCGCTTGAACAATATTGCGCCACGCGTGGGCAACAGCACTGGACTGGGGCTGTCCCCTCCCTGGCAGACGGATGGAGGGGGGCAATAAAGGATGGAGGAAGGAGGAAGGCAATGAATGTCACAGCGCATGATGTGACGCGTTGTTCCTTGGGGGAAGAGGTAGGGAAGGGGAACGAGGGAGGGGATAGAGGGAGAGGGATGAGGGAATCGCTTGAGAGGGACTATGACGACCCTGGTGAACCCTGGGAAGGCCCCAGGGGGGCCAGATAGCCCCAGATGGCGCCCGAAGCCTCGGAGGGCGTTGGGACGCTTCCGATGGCCCCAAGGGCTCGGCGAGCCCAGGAAGCCCCTGGAAAGGATTGGGGGGAGATGGGAAGTGTGAGGAGGGACAATAAAGGAGGGATAATGGAGAAAGGCAAGTAATGTCACAGCGCATGCTGTGACGCGTTGTTCCCTGGGGGAGGAGGTATGGACGGGAATGAAGGAGTGGGCGGGAGAGGGGAATCGCTTGAGAGGGCTTATGACGGCCCTGGTGAACCCTGTGAATGCCCCAGGGGGGTCAGAACGCCCCAGATGGCGCCGGAAACCTCGGTTTTGAGGGGCCACGAATTGTCATTGGGGCCCTGGGTGCCTTGAAAACACACACCGTCACAGCGCGTGCTGTGACGTACCCTCCCTTTTTCAAAACTCGTTGGGAGGGGGCTCCGAAGGTCTCCCAGAAAACTTTCGAAGCGTCTGACACCCCCATAAGTCCTCATAGGGCCTGGGGGGAGCGCCCAGAGCCCTGGAGGTTTCCGCCTGAAGGGCCTCAGAAGAAGGGCCTCAGAAGGCCCTTGGGCGGCCCTGGCAAGAAGGGCAACGTCACTGACATGGCGTCTGAGGAAAATGAAAACTATACCCCCGAAGTGGCGACACGCCGGCGTCCACCTGGCCCTTGGGCGGCCTCGGAAATCCCTGGAATGCCTCCAGGGGGCACGGGTCCAGAAGGCCTTGGGGAGAGCCAGGGGGCGTGTGTGTGTGTTGTGTGCGTGTGTGTGTATGTGTGTATGTGTGTGTGTGTGCGTGTGTGCGTGTGCGTGTGTGTGTTTGTGTGTGTATGTGTTATCTCTCTCTCATTCTTTCTCCCCCTCATTATATATCCCCCTCTCTCTCCATACCTATATGTCTCTCTTTCTATATATGGCACTATTTTTAAAAAGCGAGATGATAAGGAGTGCGAGACACAGTCACTGAATACTGCTATGTCGCTTCAGTCAGTTCATGAACAGATATCGGCACTGACCCAACACAGTGCACAACGGAAATCCAATGGCCGTGGTGCCCCCATTCTCTCTTCCCTCCATCGTATCACAATCCCCCGTCCTTCCGAAATGCACTATCAGGTACTCACTGCAAGGTTCGTGAAGCGATTAAATTGAAACTGGCATGGCCTGCTGCTAGATGAATGCAGCAAGCGATTGATCAGCTCGCTCTGTGCAACAGATCGCAAACGCTAGCATTACAGCAGCCACGTGGACATTCATTGTGTTCCCTACCTGGTCGAGCATCGCGTTCCGGCGCCGGTCGGCGCGACGCACCGCTAAACTGGTTGCTACGAAAGCCATGCCTTGAGGATCTGCAAGTTCCGGGCGCACTGGGAAAGCGTGCAGCAGGAAAAGCTCCGTGGGCGTGATCCATCGGTTTTTCTTCGTGATGAACTCCATGCCGCAATTCTTCGTCAACGTGTGCATGTGGCCACCAGGGCTACTCGACATTCCGCGCCCGACCCTGGACTTCTGAGACAGATTGTGAACGCAACCAGAAGGATTGGCTTTGAGGTAGTCTTCAAGATTTCGCTCTTCGAAATTCGTCAAAGCTCTCCGAAAAAAATCTGGACGGGCCTCAGTTGGCAATTCGCCTGCCCACAGGGTCTCCGGGCGCCCACACGCCCAACGCAACTCCTCAAGAAGTTCATCTTCCATGGCTACAAGGAAATGGTGCAGGTCGCAAGCAACGACTCGATAGAAGAGAGGAATGACACGTTCCAGGCAGTTGTGCACTACTGTCAGTTTCCTGTGAAATAAAATTGACCACCTCCGCCTCCGCCTGTTTGGCCAGCCCATTGATGCAGGGTCAACGACCATAGATTGCACGATGTATGTTTTGCTGAAAACCTTGTCCAGGTACTCCTTTTTGAAAAGGTCTGAGCATTCGTGGACTATGATCGGTACTTGCGACGCAATCATAAGACACGACCACACCAGGAAGTCCAACATCGTCACTCCATGATCTTTCTCATGTTTGCCAATGTGGGAAAAGTCGACACAAGGTGTCCCTGCGAAGTGGATGGCTCCTGCATCGAACCTGCAATACGACTTGCAGCATACACATTGGCATGATGGGGACACTGCCTCACTGGCAACGTTGAGCACGTGTTGTATTGAATCGAAGTTTAAATCTTCGTGCCCTTCAAGCAATGTTCGCAATCTTGGAAGCATAAACTCGCGAATATCATTGAACAAGTGGACTGGCGGTGACGGCCCTGCAATTAGTTCTGCTTGACACTGTTGATCTTTCTCTATTGCAGAGATGTGAGCCAGCTTATTGATTGTCATCCCTAGGTGGCGGCTCATAACCTCAGACAGCTGAGCAATGGCAACGCCAGGCGCATCTACTCCTGAGAATGCCGTACTGTAACTTCCCAGACTACTGAACAACTGCGCCATCCGATACTGCGCGCCAGTTCCAAAGTGTTTCTCGACAGCGGAAAGAAGGTCGCGGGGCCAATTGAAACAGTCACGCAACGAACACGTGCGCACCAGGTCTTCTGACCCTGCCTTAATTTCACCCTGGATGTCCACCAGGACATCGGCACCCCGGACCTCTGCCACTGCTCGCGGGGCCCTCCTGCGCTGCTTGCGGGAACGCGACCTATTTCCACGGCTGACACTTTGAACCACAGAAGTGCTTTGATGGGGTTCTCCCGAAGACGCACCCGCCTGTGCGGCAGGATGGGGAGTTTCTTCCATCGCGTCTTGCAACGCCGCTTGCCCTGCAGGCGCACCACGTGTAGCACTTTCAAAATAGCGGCTTGCATCAACTGACTTAATGATTTCTTCTGGGCATATTTTCGTCCAAGTTTGGCCGCCACTGTGTTTGACACTACCAGACAACGCTTGAAAATCTTTGAGGTGCCAACATACTGGGTGCACGAGGCGCCCACTCTTGCTGTCTCTCCGCCACTTCGCAACCATGCGCTCGATTGTTGGGCGGTCGACTTTGTGCTTATTGTACTCTTTATCAAAATCGTCAAGGTTAGTAAATGGCCCATGTGTCCCACCCCACCTCGCAACCCCCCGCACGCGGTTGAGCCCCTTCAAAGCCCCTGATCCAATCGGACGGCACTCCAGTACGTAAACAATATCGCCAACTTTACGGATGAAGCAATTTGTACTTCGAACTTCCCAGATCTTCGGCGAATCGTCGCCGCAAGAGTCCGCATCAAACTTGTCGCACCATCCAGGATCGATGAGAAGTGCTGGTGCAGTCTCTTTGTGCGGAGGCATCAATACAATGCAATATGCACTGGTTTGAGCCAATACATTTCCAGTGACATATCCACATGATACCATGATCCACAAGCCTGTACAACCAGACGTAGTGTCAGTATCCAGCCATCAACGATCTGGGCCAGCCCGTACGTCACAACACGTGGTGTGTTATGTGGGTCAGGAGCTGCGACTGTCGCATATACATGGCATTGTATTCACTGACATGGCACACATGCGTGTGCGTCACAATACATGTTGTGATGCGTACGTCCTGAAACATATAATTGGTTGCTTGATGGTGACATTGCCGTGCTAGTTTGGGTTTGACGACTGGATCGTCACAGCGTGTGTTGTGACGACATGATCCACAAGCTTGCACAACCATGCGTAATGCAATCATCCAACACTCAAAGATCTGGGCCAGCCCGTGCGTCACAACACGTGCTGTGACATGTGGGTCAGGAGTTGATACGCTCGCATATACATGACATGGTATTCACTGGCATGACGCACATGCGTGTGCGTCACAACACATGCTGTGACGCGTGCGTGTTGACCCATATGATACATTGATGGATGATGGTATGGCCGTGGTAATTTGGGCTTGTAGGCTGGACTGTCACAACGTGTGCTGTGACGACCTGATCCACCATCCCGTACAACCAGACGTAATGCCATTCCCCAACCATCAACGATCGGGACCAGCCCGTGCGTCACAGCACGTGCTGTGACGTGTGGGTCATGAGTTGCTGTCGTCACGTATACATGGTACTGTAAGTATTGGCATGACACACATGCGCGTGCGTCACAACACATGCTGTGACACGTGCATACTGGCCCATAATGGCATTGTCGTGATATCGTGGGCTTGCGGACTGGATGGTCACAACGCGTGTTGTGACGACATGATTCACATGCATATACAACCAGACGTAATGACATTCCCCAGCCCTCAACGATCTGGGTCAGCTCGTGCATCACAACACGTGCTGTGACGTGTGGGTCAGACGTTGCGATTATCGTGATATGTATGCGTCGCACGTTCTGATTGCATGCGTGGATGTCACTACACGCGTTCTGACAGTCCACCCATCAGCATCAATGCGATACTGCTGGCCATCAGATATACAGGCCAGCACGCGCGTCGCAATATTTATGGTGGCGAAATCAGACACAGCTCCTGCCCGCAATCAATGTGCAAAACCTACGGCAACACTCCCTGTGGCACACGTCGTACGCAACTTGGCACGAGTTCACCGTTACATATCCATGATTCGTTTTATGATGTGGCATGTCACAACTTGTGTTGTGACTCATGTCTCTTGTACTTCGTCTCATGATATATTTGAAGAACTGCATATGCTGCGTGCCAGCGCGATGATTCGGGTGCTGTTTAGTGTCCAAATCACACGCCCATCAAGCTTGTAGGATACGTTCCCGCCACGTTATTTTGATGTCACCGCGCCATTACATTAGTGTGGGGCTCCACAAATGTTGTGTCACACATACAAGAACACGTGCCCATATCACCCATGTTGATACATATACACGCATCGCATCGTGTTTTTTTTTTTTTTTGCGTTTGGTACCCACGTGCTGGCGGAGGCCGTGGAAGCGCCGCCTCTGGTTTGCAGCAGCGGAGGCGGTGGCAGGTGCTGCAGCGTGCCAGGCCGTCCACTGATGCGCGGGCCAGACAGCCCTGGGGAGGCTCTCGACCCCATCTTCGACATCGATTTCGCGCCGTGGGCTCATTTCCCAGGGCCCCTGGGCCTGAAACTGGCCCCCCAGGGCCTGTCCACCAAGAAAAACGAAATCGACGAACAGTCGACGAAAATTCCTTGGGGGGCCAGGCCGTCCACTCATGCACGGGCCCGACCGCCCGTGGCCAGGACGGGCCAGCCACAACTGGAGGGACTTCGACGTCGTCGCGGGGCCACCGCGGGGAATGGCATGGGCCCCGCACGTGGCCGCTGCGCCCTCAAAGACAAACGTTTTCAGCGAAATCGGCTACGTAGGAGGAATAGGGAGAGGAATAATAAATCCCACGAGCTGCACTCCGAGCCGTGGCGGCCTGGAGATCTTGCTGGCTGCCTATGTAAAGGTTTTGATCGAGCACTGTGACAGGCGCCCCCCCCCTTTCCAGGTGTCACCGCCGTGAACCTCGAATAGGGGGTTATATACGGCGCTTGCTCGTTTTTTTTTCTTGCTGGGGGGAGGCACACCCCACGAGCTGTCCGCTGCGGCTGACACAGGAGCAGGGGGCCTCCACCAGACGGGCCCACGCCTAAATCGGTGCCAGGATCTTGACCCCCAGAGCCTTCAACGCCAGCACCCCCGCTCCCACCAGGGGCCCTGGCCAAGACAGAGGACGAGAAGGAGAAAGGACGAGAATAAGGAGGCGACATCATGCCTCCCACCGCATCTTAATCACAGAAGCTCGCAACTTTTACACACAAACGTATAGAGTCTGAAAACAATTCCGCAATTCCCCAATGGGGTTGTGCCGAGCTGTGCCGAAATACGCCCCCTGGGCATATGGGGCCAAGGGGTCAATTCGTGTCCCCCCCCATTGGGCCCCCATTGGGCTGTTATGGGAAGTGTTTGGGCTCCATTTGGTGGCCTCTGTGGCTACGCAGACCCCAGTGCAGAGGAAGTGGCGCCACCTGACATTACCTGAATTCCTTGGGGCCTCCCAAACGATTCCTGGGGGGGCGTCGTCACAGCACATTCTATGACAGTATGTTTTCCAAGGTCCACAGTGCCCTCTGGGACGGGGCCCCCTGGGCCCCCCCTGATGCCCCCCAGGGCCCTCCAGGGCGTCTTGACGCCCTCCATAATTTCCCAAGGCCCTTCAGGATTGTCTGGGCCCCAGGGCCCTCAGGAGCCATCAGAAGGGCCCTTGGGGCCATCCGGGGCTCTCTGGGGATCCCCCTGGCCCCCCCTGGCTCAGGGCCTCCCTGGGGCATTCCAGGGCCTCCCTGGGCCTTCCAGGGCCTCCGCCCCCCCCCCTCCCACCTTTGGGGCCCTCTGGCAGACCTCGGGGCCATCAGGGGCCTCCCCGGGGGACCCCAAGGGGCCCTCCCAGGCGGGTCTTGGGGGGAGGGGGGGAGGGGCACGTCACAGCACGCGTTGTGACAGTGTGTTTTTATGGGCTTTTGGGCCCCATTCATGGCGATGTGTGCCCCCTGGTGGCCCTCCGATGCTCTCTACAGCGCCCTGGGCCCCCTCGTGCGCTCCTGAGGCACTCTGAAGCCTTCTGAATCCCTTCAAGGCCCTCCGGAGCCATCTGCAGGGCCCTTGGGGCCATCTGGGGCTCTCTGGAGCTTTCCCTGGGCCCGCTGGCTCCGGCCCCCCCTGGAACATTCCAGGGCCTCCCTGGGCCTGGGATGTGCGCATCCGCTTCACCGACGCAGGTGAACCAGGGGGCGGTAGGATGAGGCGACGGGCGCCCATGTGCACCAAACAACACTCATTTGGCTGGGGGGCGGCGGAAGCAAGGGCGGCAGCCAACATGAGTCAAGGGATAAAGAGGACGAGAAGGAGGAGATCGACCATGATAACAAGGAGGAGGGGGACGACGAGGCAGACAAACATATTTGGCATGTTCGGACGAAGTACCTCAGCTGACTGGTGCTGTGCTGCACCACTCTCAATGCAAGGGGGAAGCGCGCTGGCATAAGTTGCAGAACGCATCAGACCGCACCATTTTGAACAGGTCTGGTAGCTCCAAGGACTCTGCCTCTGGTTGACCCTGGGCCAGCCATGTGTCTGCTTGGCTGCACTCGACGAGGGCTTTAGAACATCGTGGGTGGAAGCTGCACATACACATGCAGCACTTGTTCAATTTCTCGAACCCTGATTCGACAGATAAAGTTTCAAAACTCCCACACAACATGCAAGGATTACTCCACGAATCCAATGCGACGCCAGTTATGCACGAGATGGCATGCTCCCACATATCGCAAAGTTTTATCACATCGATTGGTACGCGTGGCCTGTCTATCTTAGTTTTAAGCATGCGTATTCCAATTGCTGGGTGAACAACTGACTTGATCGCTCCGACAAAAGATTTGTTATTGTCCTGTCTGGGAACCGACCAAACGACGTGCACTCCTACGTCGCGAGCTCGGGCACTGAAATCTGTGAAAGAAAGAATACTTTCGCCATCTCCTGTTCGCAACTGCGGTATCCGGCCCACGCGCCTAGAGGGGTCTGTCCAGTGCACAAGCCTCACGCAGCGTTCTCCGACAGGCCACCCTTCCAACTCTAGAGCAGACAATTGAGGATAGAAAGTGTCGCTCCCTGGTGGCCCAAGGACGCCGCCAAGAGGCTGATTGCCCCCCTCCATGCAAGACTGCCTCTGTCGCAGCACTCTGACGCTGTCCTGGAACGCAGCGAACCACATGCGCATTGCGTCCTCCATGTGTCCTGGATGCGTAAGATTGCACAATAACGTTTTCAGTAGCGTTGCATGCGTTCCGTCAGTGGCAGCGTCACTGATACTCCCAAATGCAACTTCAGCGAGAGACGCATCGTGCTGTAGTTCAACTGGGTCGACCTCAAGGCCTTCGTCGAGCTCGTCGTATCTAGCTTCGATCCTCCGCAATAAATCTTCGGACCCGCCAAGCGCATCTCGGGGCTGGGACCCGCCCTCTGGGTCTGCCTCAGCATTATGCACCCCGAAAGTTGAGGCGTTCGCTGCCACGAGAGCTTTTTCTCGAGCCAGCGCGCCCTCCTCATCCAATTCCTTCTGGTCGCTCTCCATCCACTCGTTTTCAAGATCATCAGCTTCGTTGTGAGACCTACCAGACGCTCCGCCGAGCAATTCCTCGACCAAGCTGTCCACCTGCGGGGCATATTCTGCGCCGGGGGCCTCAGGTTGCTCATCCTCGATCGCCAAGGGACCTGGCCCACCCTCAGCATCGCGAGTAATTCGAGGGAGCTTTTTTATTTTCGGAGGCACAGGACTAACATCTACGATCTCCTGTCTGGTCAGCATATTTACCGTAACCAACAGCTCCCCAGCGTCCGACGCGCCCCACTCGATATCATACGAACAAAGCTGCAACGTGATACCTTTCTCTGCATAAGAAACCACTGTTTTGTGTGCGCGCCGGAAGAAGTCCACAGACGGTTGCGAGTCAAGGGGAAGCACAAAACGCGCCTTTGCTGTATGACAGTCTTGTTGGACAGAAGTAACCTCGAGGGCATCCAACATCCCAAGAGAATGGTTCTTTTCGCTACACAAGTACAACAGGTCTCCAATACAAAAACTCTTTCCTGGCGCTCGCTCAAGCAAGCAGATCCTCGAAAAATCTGGGTTGGGAAATGCTTTGTGCCATTTGCAGTTGTACGCGGCAGCCCACCGTGCATCCGCGGTTGGCCGGAGGTCTGGATTGGCAGCGAACTTGCGAAGCTCCGCCTCTTCTTGCGAGAGCGTGCCCAGAACTGGTTCGGGAGGCCTCCACCTGCGAATGGCAATAAGGATTAAGAGATTCACGAAAGAGGCACGTCGACCCCCCATGGAAACCTGGAACCAACCCCCTGGCCCTCGCCCCTCTGGGTGCCGTATACGCAAACATGTTGGGGCACGAAACTAACAGAGACACCATTGCGTTCCTCCCCCACCTCCAGAGCTCTCTGAGGCCCCCAGGTGGGATCCTCTGCCCCCCCTCTCTGGGGCCTTCTGGGGGACTTTGGGGCCGTCGGGGGCCTCTGGGATTTTCTGGGGGACCCTCGGGGCCATCCCAGGTGGGTCTTGGGGGGAGGGGGGGGCACGTCACAGCACGCGTTGTGACAGTATGTGGTTCGCAGCTTCTGGGCCCTCATTCATGACGATGTGTGCTCCCCCGGGTGCTTCCGATGTTCTCCAAAGCGCCCAGGGGGAGGGGGCCCCTGGTGCGCTCCTTTGAAGCCTTATGGGCCCCTCTGGGACCCTACGGAGCCATCTTCAGGGCCCGTGGGGCCATCCGGGGCTCTCTGCGGCACTTCCTGGCCCCCCTGGCTCCGGGCCCCCCTGGCTGGGGTTCCCTGAAGCCCTTGAGACCCGTCCAGAGCCTCCCAAGCGATTCCTCTGCAACAGGCGCGTCACAACACACGCTGCGACATGTTGCTTCCCAAACTCAGCCGTAGGAAACGGGACTTTCCCTATATCCTGGAAAACGAATGTGATTGCCAAGGTCCTCACGCCACTGCGCACGCGGCCGTGTTCAATAATCCCCAGTCATCGTCCTCCCCCTCCTCCTCCTCCTCCTCCTCCTCATCGTCATCATCATCAGCAGCATCATCATCATTGTCATCACCATCGCCATCTTTATCTTCATCTTCATCATCATCATTTTGGGGGCGAGCGTGAGGAAGGCGTGCGTTGACGATGCTGCAACATACCCATCACAACTCACAATTGCGGCCCTGGGGGACACCTCCACTTATCTACCTGGGGAACAACGAAAGACGAGATACGAACAATTGGACCAACATCGCCATCCCCCACCCCCTGCTATGGGACACCTGACATACAAAGGCCCCGCCCCTGGAGCACATTGGCATGGGTGGTGAAAACGGCCGATAATGATTTATGCCACCCCGCCTGTCCTCAACGTCAACTGCTTCGATTGCTGCGCGAGTAACACTGGAAGCAAGACGGACTGCTCGCAGGGCTATGGGTCGTATCAGGCTGAACTTCGGTGTCACGCCTCGTTGCCCCAATCCCAACGTTTTTTTCACAGTAACCCTAGCGCTGAGAAGCGGCAGGCCCATCCGCGGAGCCCGTGTACACCCCAATCTGATGAGCGAGTTTACGCCTTCGATTTCCTGCGTGTCGCTGTACACCCAACTGCGGATGGCAAAGCATATGTTCCATAGGCCTTGGCCGCAAAGACCACCTTCTGCTGCCTGGCGGAAGTCGTCAGGGAAAAAATGTAGAAGCTTCCTGCAATTGATCTCAAGATCCATCGAGTTGTCACGTGCCACAGCAAGCACGTCTTGGGCAAGTTGTTGTCGACGTTGGCAACGGACTCCTGGAACTCGGAACGCGAACCAACATAGCGAATAAGGGAGCCTCGGGGGGCCGCAGCAACACAACGTTGGCTTTAACTGTATGAGGAAAAAGAAGTGGGGAAGACATGCGGGCATACGTATTATTCTTGTGCACGAAATGATGCATAATCATTAGGTGGGACATGAGTCGTCACAACTGCCGTTGTGACGCACTGGACGGGGGGTCACAGACCCGCAGCATTCCCAGCCCGAGAACGATCTAACGACGTTAATAAACCTGCGTTTGAATCCAGCAGCGTTGTGGCAGACAAGCAGCGCCCCCAACTCCAACAACTTTCCTGCTCTGACATTCGCAGTCGGTGGCAGGTCGGCCGCGTCGTTGGCGATGGCCTTCCAGTTCGTGTCTGTCAGAACTGCCGTGAACTCACCATGTATCGAACCATCGCCCTTCTCGCACTTGCCAGCGTACCCATGGCTGTAAACCAAACGCGCCCACAGCCCGCCGTGGTGCAGGACCTCGTCCTGCGAGGGGCTGCGTTGCAGAAAATGTTGCACGTGATCCAGTGGAGCTGAAGCAAGCGCCGCAATGTCGACCACGCGCCAGAAAACCACGTCGTGGACAGCGGACATTGCGTCCTTGCGCCACCTGCCCATTCGAAGCCTGTGCTGGGACTGCTCCTCAAGCTTGGGGTCCTCGACCCCGCCAACATGAAGGGCAATCTGGAGATCGCTGTCCCCAGTTTTTGGAGGAGCGCCTGGCCCTGTAGCAGCGCTCTTGTCTGTCAACGCTTTCTGTTTGGCACGTGATTTAGCCTTGGCCTCTTTAGCCTTTGCTCGCGCCACACATTGCGGCGTCATAGCGCAGGTGCAACCCAACACCTCGGATAGCGCAGGCTCAAGCTGCTCCTTCGTTGCTTCTCGGACGAGAGACTGGAAAGTGCTGACGCCACCCCATCTCGAGGCTGTGCACCTAGCAGGGATTCGTTTGGCAAATTTGAGAGCTCCCTCTGCGCTGACCTGGCTCCTCCACGCGTTGAACATGTCGCTGGCGAGCTCCCTCCACACTTGGTTCAACTTCGTGATGGTACTGAAGTATTTCCATTGGCAGCCAGCCTCATAGAGCCACCGGTCTATCAATGTTAGGTGGCCTTTGTATATGAGGCTGTTGACGTGTTGAAGACAGCTGGTGTCGACGAAGAGAGCATGATGAACTGTTGCAATCTCGGACCGAACGCGAGCCCTATAAGCCATCTCATCGGGGCCGCCATCTGAGCCATATATGAAAATCCTCCAGAGGGCCGGCGCTGGCGCTGGGAGTTCTTGGTCCAAGTTCTCGATGCGAGCGGTAGTGTCCATATGCAGCCACGAAGGCACGCCCAAACCACCGCACACCTTTTGTAACAAACCATACAGGCCAGCCCCAGTCCCTTTGGTGACGACTTGCAAGTCACCCATCGACCTGTGCGACGGACAATTCAACATTGCATGGGCGCGTCGCATGTCATCCGCAATGCGCAGGATACTTGAAGGCACATAGAAACTTTCAGCTTGGGTTACGTGGAGCTTCGACTTCCTCCACACGTTGCTGTTCGTGGCGTCGCTGCGGACCCGGTGGCAGGATATGCCCATCAGAACCTGCGGAAAGAGGAGGAGGAAGGGCAGGGGGAGGGGCGGAGGGGAGGGGGAGGAAACGGGGGAGGATGCAAGGCAAAGTAAGGCAAGGCCCATGGAGCACCTGTTGCCGCCCCTCTGCAAGCTCATTCTGCATGTCCTCGTGGATGACGCTCTCGCAATACTTGTGGAAGCCGTAGGATGCGGCAATGAAACGAGTGCCCAGATCGGACTCGCATCGGCACACAGTTTGATGCGACAAGTTTTCGAGCAACACTGCGCCCAGACCCGCTGCCGATATATTAGCGATGTTGCGACGAATCCCCACTGCGATCGCACCACTCTGCGTCAAATGCACTTGGCCTGAGCGCTCGATAGCGAGGCCTCGATTGGGATCAGCCCGTTCGGCAACCTCCTTGATCTGAGCTTCGGTCTGGGCCAACCTCTCCTCAGCGGCCCTTTTCAAAGCAGACAACGTTTTCGAAGTCCGGGCGAGGCTCTGGATTGCGCCAGTTGCCATCTCCACATGCTGGTCACGCAGCATCAACAAATCGATATGTTGGCTGGTACTCATCATTTCGTACTCGTCCCTCGTGCGCGGGCGGACCCTCCGGATTTCCGCCAATACCCTGGGCCCAAGTTCACCAGGCAGCTCGGCGACTGCGTCGGAGGAGAGGTCGGTCGCTGGCACGACTGCCAGCGTTTGAAGAGGTGGCGCTGGCTGCTCTGGAGCATGAGATAGCCCCCCTGCTCGCGCCGCCTGCGCCGGCGCCGCAGACTGCCGCAGAGAGGGAGGCCCCCATTGCCGCCGCGTCGCCGTAGTCCCCAGCGTCGCAGCCAATGTTCCCATCCATTGCTGCCAGGCAGAATCCAGGAGCAACCTCTCAGAGTATGTGAGAATGTCAGCTTCCTGGAGCAAGGCAGGGAAACTTGCAGCGCCAATCCTCTGTGAACCACATGGGAACAATTGAAGCAGAATGCCTGAGACGTCACTTTTGCCAGTCAATACGCGAACGCATTGCGCAGCGCACTCGCGATCCATGACCAGTTCCCCCCCTGGGGCGCCGCCATCGAAGCGCACCGAACTCCTGGTAAGCAAAGCCAAGTGCCGACGTTGGACGATCGTGAACTGCATTGCCCAAATCTCGAGCAAATATGATTACGGGAGGGGGCGGGGAGTTGCTCTGAGGGAGCTCAAAATATATGCACGTGTAGACGCATAGCTCGGTCTTATCATCTGCGTGGCTCGACGGCTCCGAACTCCACATGAATTTTGGTACCGAGAAAAGGCAGGGGCTGCAAACTCATAATTGAACGCATATTCATTCGGGGAATTGCATAACTGCCGGCGTTCCACTTCTAACGTGCATCGCATGGTTTATGATATGTTTCGATGCCATATGGGTGGGCCGGGGCGCCCGGGCAATCAAAAAAAAACATCAACACTCACAACACCCAAATAAAAATGAAATACGTTTTGCGAGGTTTTTCAGATTTGCGTTATTTTTTGGCGACGCCGCAAGCCCCCCCCAAACGCATGTATAAGAAGCAGCGTTGTGACGGCCCGCGGGGCCCTACAGAGACAAATGGACAACCTCACCTATTGAAGATGTTCACTTTCGGCCTGAACACCTGGCGCGAGCCGGTGCCCTTGCCTTTACCTTTGCCTTTGCTGCGGCCCTTGCCCTTGCCGCCCGCCGGCTTGGCGGGGCGCGACGCGCCCTTGCCGTGTTGAAAGTTGTTGTCAGGCGCGACAACTACGATCGGGTAAAACCCTCTCGACTTGGCGATCTCCGCTACGCGCCTCTTCGCATCCACGAAACTGAGGTAGGCCTCGTCGCACGCAATCTGGGCTTCTTCCACGTCCTGCGGCAGCTCCTCGGCGACGTCGGCCTCTTCCTCGTACTCTTCAGCGTCGTACTCTTCGTATTCGTCGTAATCGTACTCTTCCTCCTCCAGGTATGAGTCTTCGTAGCTCAGGCCTCGCTCCCACTCGTAGTCGTTCGTGTAGTGCACGTCGTCCTTGTGACCCTGCCCGACCAGCATCCTCTCAACTCGTTTCACGTCGCGCTTGTCGGGTACGGCTTCGGCTCCATATGCATCGAGTAGGGCCTTCTTCACGCTCATCCAACTGAGGCCACTGGCACATTGACTTCGCACCTGGGCGGCGCCCGAAGGTGGGACGGCCGCTCGTGAGAGGAGGTGCCAGCCCGCCAGCATGTCGGGAATCTCCATGCCGACCTCCTTGAGCTTCCTCAGCTCTCGTTTGTGACGCAAGCAGTATAGCTTCATCGTCTCCTTATCCTGGCGAGCGAACTTGCCGAAAAACTGATCTGTGCGGGCCGGCAGCTCGGTCTGGTTGTCGTACTTGTAATGCTCGTCGAGGACCTGGAACAGCGGCTTGAAGGCGCCCTCGGACTCCAGCTGATCCAGGTCGATGTCCTCCGTAGCCTCCGCGGCCTCACCCTGCAGCGAGTTCATGATCAAGAACGCGCCCTCGCTGATAGCGGTGGTGCCGCGCTTCCTGCAGCAACGCTCGAAGACCTCCAGTTTTCGGCGAAAGACTCTGTAGCCGTCGGTCTTGAGCAGCTCGTATGTCGGTGCCGTCTTGGACAGGCCTGCGTCGAGGCCTCTTCCCCCACTGTCCCAGGCGGAACTCGCCCTCTGCCACCAATCGTTCCAGTCCCCGCCCTCGGCATAATGACCCTCCGCGGTACTGTCGGGAGACGGCGGGACCCTGGACGTCTCCGCTGTCGGTACGCTGCCGGCGGCAGCTCCTGCAGCGGCGGCCGCTGTGGCCGCGGCGCCAGGCGCCCTCGCGGGCGGTGGTGACGCCGGCGCGGCCTGCGGCCTCGGCGGACCCCGCGGGCGCGGGTCCGCTGGCATGGCGGCGGCGGTGGGGGGCCGGAGTGTGGATCTCCGGCTCCGCTACCAATATCAACCGATGGTAGCACACGAAGTCTACTCGGGATTGTCCGTAAAGAAATGATAATCTTGATTATCGGCCGTATGAAACGAAACGCAACCTTTTACATGACTCAGGGGCCCCTGAACATCAAACGGCGATGGTACATGGCAATCGAACAGCAACGCTGCAAACAATACTTCACGTCTGTGCTAATCTGCATACACACTGGCAAGAATAAACACTACACAAATTCGGTAGAACAAAGGTGATAACGACACTTGTGGGGCTTGTCGTCGTTCTGGCCGCTCCCAGCACTAGGGGTCGCATCCGTGGAGCGCGCCAGCTGGCGCTCCTCCATCGCCATGCGGCGCTCCGTCAGCACCGCGCTCTCCTCCGATAGCTTGTGCGAGATCCAAGGGCCCAAGGCGGGGGCCACGAGCGCGCGACCGTGTCGGCCCTCCTCTCCCACGAAGAGCATGTCGTCGTCAAGGTGTCCGCTGTCGCCACCGGCGGCGGCAGCAACCCGCGCGCGCGCGCGCCTCTCCTCCAGCAGCTGATGGCGGCGCCCAGCAAAATCCAGCGCAGCGAGCTCTCCGAAGTTGAGCTGGTCGTACTTCAGGGCGCACTCAAACAGCCTGCTGAGCGCCTCGTGCTCCCCGACGCCCCAGACGCTGGGGCCGAGGCCGAGGGGCTGCCGCCACCAGAAGTGCCTCCTCACAGGCGCAGGCGTCAGCTCCCGACGGGCGATCTCGCGCGCCAGCCACTCCGCCGTCCGGGGGCCGCTGATTGGCCAGTCGTCGAAAGCCGTGGTAGTGGTGAGCGAGGCCGCCTCCTTGCACGAACGATGTCGACGATTCGACGTCTCGTACTTCGCCGGCAGCGTCCTCAGCTCACGCGGCGGCTCATCGCGACGGCCTTCAGCTCGAGGGGTCGGCATCTGCTCGCCGGGCCTGAAGAAGGCGCAGGAGACGAACGCGTCGCCGACATTCGCGACCCCGCGATCTCCTTGGCAGCAGCCAGCCTCCAGCGCAGCAAAGCCCACCAGCTCGCCCAGGCGCGCCTCCCCCCGCGTCTCTAAGAAGCGCCACTCACCCTCCTCGGGGTGGGCAGTGCCCTCCAGCGCCAGCGCGGGCGGCGCCTCCGCGGGCGGCGGCAGCGGCGGCATGCCCTCGAGGCCCAGGTCGCGCCGCTCCTGCTCCGCGAGCTTGGCGCCGTCCGCCTGCAGGCGCAGGCTCTCGGCCTGGTGCAGCGGCCCCTGCGATGAACTCCTGAACTGGTGCGTCGGCCCGCGGCTCTACCCGACAGGCAGCCCGCCCATCGGTCCCGACGGCACCAAGCTCTCGATTCCCTCCTGGAAACCCTCGAGATACATGTCCCGCTCGGGCGTTGCGACCACCCATGAGCTCCCGTGCACGCGAGCGCACAGCAGGCGCTCATGCCACAAGAGCTCGCGCGGATCCACGTCGTAGGAGACGAGCACCCGCTGGCCCTGACGTAAATGGGCGGCTATTCTGACCTTCGAACGTGCACAAGACCTCGGCCTCACGAGCTTCCCAGCGGCGGAGCCACCACCACGCGCCGGCAGAAGCGGCCGCGAAGTCCAGCAGGAGGGCGAGCACCGCCACCAGCAGCACCACCAAGACAGGCTGTCCCGTGCACTCGGGCGGCGGGCAAGGCGCCGGCACCGTCAGGTTGGCAGGCCCGCACCGCTGCACTTGGCCCTCCAGCAGGCGAAGCAGCTCGCGGTCAACCGAGAAGCCCTCGCCCAAGTCCACCTGGCAGGTGCAGCGCTGCCCGTACCAGAGCGTCCCCAGGTGCGCCAAGCCGCCTGCGCCAGCGGCGGCGGCCCTCGCCCACTCCATGAACGGGCGAACCCACCGGCTCGCGCGGCTGTGTTTGATCCAACGGTTGCGGATCAAACAAATTTCAGGCCAACCCAATAGACTATCTCCAATGAACGCCAGACGGCCGAAGAGGCCCCCAAGAAGCCCCCAAAGGCCCCCAGAAACCCTCCAAGAGGCTCCCAGGAAGCCCCCAGGAGGCCCTAAGAGTGCCCCAAGAGGCGCCCAAGAGGCTTCCTCCTCCTCTTTTTTCCTCATCCTCCCCCTCTTCTTGCTCCCCCACGCGTTCCCCGAAGTCTTTCCAAACCGACTCGGGGAACAACTGGCCCGATAGCTTGGCCAAGCTCTGGCCCAGCTGTCGGCCACAACGGGGGGCCACGGGAAACCATCAAGGCCCCGTAAACCCGGACGCGCTAGACCCGGACACCCGACATCCCTCGGAACCGATACATATTCCAGACGGCGGCACGAACAACATTTTGCACTGCAGCATGTCCAAAATAACCCGGACACAGGTCCTAAAAGCCTGCAAGACCCCCCTAAACCCAGACACAAGCCCGAATCCTACAGAGCGCTGAAAAATACGACCTTGCAAAGAGAGGGTGCCGTTTCCTTGGTTTTCCGTGTCCTGGTTCATCCGTGTCCTGGCCTCCGGGGGCCACGACGCCCAACAAATTCTGGATCAAGCAATGCACCGGAAGCAACGGGAGGCCACGTCGCCCGAACGATTCCAGATCTGGCGATCCGCCTAATTGTGGCTTGTAGAACTTAGAATGTGAAGTAGTGCAAGTTAGCGAAAGAGCGTGGCTTACAGACAATCTGCCAGTGAAATAACGCAGGGATGACAACGACAACTGATGATACGAAAGGGAAGATGAGCAAGAGGATGAGGAGAAGGCGAGCCAAGGTTTCGTCAAATCGGTCATGCCATGCCGAATCGAGCAGGGGATGAAGCGGACAAGCGCCCCCCCCCCCCCCCCGAGGGGTGCAAGGCCCGTCTGGGCGCCGGGGAACCATCAGGTGGCGCCCCAGGGACCGTATGCCCCGTGCATGAGGAAAAGTGCCACAGCTGTCTCAATGTCAGATTGCGCTCTGGAAGGCAGCGTCCCGCGCTTGGCAATCTCCGCGGACAGCTCCAGGCACTTTGGGACGCCTCCCGCAGAAACTGGGTGCGCGAAGAGGGGGGCCAGGAACAGGGGGGGGGTAGCGCATCATGGCCCGAGGCATGTGCGCAGACGGAGGGGGGCCAGCGGATGTCTTGAAAAAGGACGACGGGGGGGGGGGCATGACGCCTGGTTTTATGACCCCGGCACTGTATCCACACACCCCTGGTCCTTTCCCTGCTCTTCGATATCCCCGACCGTCGCCGACCCGCCGCCGCCGCCGCCGCCAGGCCGCAGCCACGTGGTTGCACGCTCGGGTCTCAAGCGCAAGTTGGAAGTCGTCGCCGCCGACCTCTGGGTTGGAGAAAGGGAATTTGAAAAGCATGGGCTGGCTCCCCCGTATCCCGGAGGGAAGCGACGATCCTGAAAATGGCTCGTAACTCGCTTTCAAAGTCGCCAGGATGCTGCGCACACCCAGCGATATCGCCGACATGAACGGTACGCCTCTTGAGACCAGCATGTGGACAGACGCAGCCAGCCGACTGCTACAGACTTGACGACGGCGTGCGCGAGGATGCGTTCGCTGTGGTTCGTCGGGCGGGCGTGCACATCGCACGTCGGCTCACGCCCCCCAAAAAGAGCCTCGAGCGCGTCGTCGTCAGTGCAAGGTCGCCTTGATCGCGCCAGTCGACTAGAATTCGGACATCTATACAAGTCCACCTCATTCCACCTCATTCCTCCTCTCTCCTCCTCTGATCATGTTCCCTCCCTTCTGGACGGGAGGGGGGAAGGAGGTTGATCTGTATAGTTGTCCACCTTCGATCGACGCCTGGTGGACTAGCCCACGGCCGCATGCTGCTGTGCAGTCATCGTGCTGGATCCAAGGAGCGGCCAGAAGCCAGAGTCACTCCTGTATCCAAAGTGGTCCTGCGTCCGCGTCTTGGTTGTACGAGGCGATGCGATCCTTCCCCGCGGGCCCCACCCCCCTCCTGTGCGAGCCGCTCAAGGACCTATTGATGACGGTGCGCGCCATCACCTCCAAGCAACTCTTGAAGCCATGCGCTCCTTGAGCTTCTTGGCCTTCTTCGACTCTGGCGTCCGAGCAACAGCTCCCGCAAATGGCGGTGCCACGAGTGCCACAAGGGTGGGTCCACCTGCTTCCGCCAACACAGGATTCGCCGCGACGGCCTCGCTTGTCTCCGTCTACTGCTCGCGCGGCTCCTGCGCGGTAGGCTCTCGCCCTGCTGGCGGCCGCTGCCGAGGTCACGCAGCCTGCCCGCGCTTGCCCTCGCCCCCATGGACAGCTCCTCGCTGGGCGTCTACGGGATGCTGCCACTGCCACTGCAGGCGGACACCACCACTGCCGCAAGCACCTAATGGGACTTGTCCACCGTCGGTGCACATAGGCTCCGTCTGCGCCTTCCCGAGCATGTCCTGGTGTTCTGTACTTTTGAGCGGTGCGATCTCCAGCGCCGCGGCAGCAGACGCTGCCGTAGGTGATGCGCAGCGTGCCAAACAGTCGTCGACCACATGCTCCACGATCGTGCCCGATGTTCGCTCGCACTTGCGCTCGATCTTGCGAAGCAACTTGCTCTGGTCGGCCTTACCAGCTCCGCCTGGAGCCCCCGGCTCGTGCCGTGGCCCGCGTTGGGCGAATCTGCTTCGTGTCGCCCTCGAGCCACTCCCGTGGAAGCAACGTCCTCTATCACGCGGGCGAGCAGAGGCAATCGTCAGTCTCAGCGTGGCCGTCGGCTGGTGGCTCCCGTCGGTCACCGCGACTGCCACGAGCGCTGGTAGGCACGGCTCGGTGCGCGGACCGCCGGCGGGCCCGTGCTGCACTTACCACGCCGAGATTTGTTTCTCAAATTTTGCTGGTGTCAATCGTTACTTTGGGGTGGGGGCCGGGCAACAGTAACGATTGGGCGGGATGGGGCACGTCGGGGCGGGGGTGCGATGCGATCTTCATAGTATGCGCACGAGCACCAGCATGTGGGGAGGGGTGCCCCCCCCCCCGGCCGATCGTTATTGGTACTCAGGGGGGATGGTTTGGCCTGGGTAACGACCGTTACGCGGCAGATGATCAAATCCGCCGGCCCCCTTGTGGGGCCACCAGGCTGTAGGCCGGAGGTTCGCAGTTTCCTGCACCAATTGCAGCTTCCAGTTTCCACTGTTACAGTTCTGCTTCTTGCTGCTAACTGTTCCTTGTTGACTTCTTGCTGCTTGCTGTTCCTTGTTGATGGACCGCGCGGGGGGGGGGCGGCCCAAAACGGGCATTTCTACAACCCCCAAATCGCATTGTCTGAATTGCAAGGGTGGGAAAAAATTACACCGCTCACGCAGATCGGCGGGGTCAGGGTCCAAAAACACATGCGATTTGCCAAATTTCTCAAATTCGGCGGAACCCCTCACGCAGATCGGCGGGGTCAGGGTCCAGAAACACATGGGATTTGCCACTTTTTTCGAATTCGGCGGCACCCCTCACGCAGATCGGCGGGGTCAGGGTCCAAAAACACATGCGATTTGCCAAATTTCTCAAATTCGGTGACACCCCTCACGCAGATCGGCGGGGTCAGGGTCCAAAAACAAATGGGATTTGCCACATTTCTCAAATTCGGCGGCACCCCTCACACGATCGGCGGGGTCAGGGTCCAAAAACACATGGGATTTGCCAAATTTCTCAAATTCGGTAACACCCCTCTCGCAGATCGGCGGGACAGGGTCCAAAAACACATGGGATTTGCCACACTTCTCAAATTCGGTGACACCCCTCACGCAGATCGGCGGGGTCAGGGTCCAAAAACAAATGGGATTTGCTACATTTCTCAAATTCGGCGGCACCCCTCACACGATCGGCGGGGTCAGGGTCCAAAAACACATGGGATTTGCAAAATTTCTCAAATTCGGTGGCACTCCTCATGCAGATCGGTGGGGTCAGGGTCCAAAAACACATGGGATTTGCCGCACTTCTCAAATTCGGTGGCACCCCTCATGCAGATTGGCGGGGTCAGGGTCCAAAAACACAAAGGATTTGGCACATTACTAAAATTCGGTGGCACTCCTCATGCAGATCGGCGGGGTCAGGGTCCAAAAACACAAGGGATTTGCTACATTTTTGAAATTCGGCGGCACCCCTCACGCAGATCCGTAGGGTCACGGTCTAGAAAAACAAACAGGTCCCGACACTGCTTCACGGCGAAGCCAAAGTCTCATGACTTCGCTCTTCCATGGCCCATTCTCCGAGAGAGGGGGCTGGCGGCAGGGGGCGAAGCCCTTACGGATCATCTCACCCGCGGCGACGATCACCACCGTCGGTGTCAACATCTTTCATGTCGCTGATCTCAGCCGCCGCGGGCCGCACTGGCCACACTCTACTTCATCCGTTTCACTTGGTTCTCGGCGAGCTCCTGCCGACTGCTCGCGAGGCGTCATGTCGGGCAGCAGCCCGCCCCTTCACGAGCTGCACTCCGTTGCCAACGCTGTCGTGGCCATCACGGGACGATCATCGGCCACCAGTGCGCGACATGACACCTGCCGCGTAGCAGCAGCTGCTGCCTGCGCCGCCTCGAGCTCCGGGGGTCGGCTGTGAACGCCTGACTGGTCAGAGCACGGCTCGCACTGCTGGGTGCAGGCTGCCATCGCTTTCGGATCCATGTCTCTGTAGAGGAACAGCAGCCCGAAGCAGGACGAGAAAGGTCGAGCTCAGGATCGTGCGCGCGCCTCCCGCCGAACGGGTCGGCGGCGGCCTCACGCGTCGCGGGCAGCTCGAGCCCGTTGGGCTGCCGCGCCTGTCAGCCGCGCCGACCGCCAGCCGTCTGCGAACTCGCCGGCGCCGTGCAGCGATGCTACGCTGACGAACGTTCGAACTACGGCCGCTCGGCTGTCGTGGGCGCCAGCATCGGGCCATCGGAAACCAGCCACCATCGTGGCAGCCCAAGAGAACGCACTGCGGGTCATGCGTGGGTGCGCGTCGTCGGCCGCAGAGGCAGCTGTCGCTACCAGCTGCCAGTGAAACTGAGTCAAAATGGTCTCGGTGGTGGGGCAGGGGCACCATGATGAGGATGAAGAAGAGGCGGAGGAGGAGGAGGAGAAGGGGAGGAGGAGGAGGAGGAGGAGGAGGAGGAGGAGGAGGAGGAGGAGGAGGAGGAGGAGGAGCGCCAGTACCCCACGGAGGAGCAGGAGGAGGAGGAGGAGGAGGAGGAGGAGGAGGAGGAGGAGAAAGAGAAACAGAGAGGAGGGAAAGGAGGGAACACGAAGGGGGGGAAGGAGGAGGCTGGAGGGAGGGATGGAGGGAGGGAGGGGGGGATGGAAGGACACGGACCTGGGCCCACTCCCGCAGCCCCGACACCGAGAGCTCACGAAAGAGGATGGCGACGGCGGGGCCGGTCACAGCCGGGTGCGCGGCGTGCTCCACCAGCACCAGCAGCGCCGCGGTGACCAGGAGCTTGTCGGCCAGCGGGTCCAGCAGAGCCCCCAGCGAAGTCGTCTGCCCCCACCGCCGCGCCAGGTAGCCGTCGAGGGCGTCGGTGGCGGCCGCCGCGCCGAAGAGCCCCGCGGCCGCCAGCGGCGCCCCCGCGTGCCTCAGAGCAGATTCGGCCCAAGGGGGCGGCGTGCTTCCCCAGACCCTGGTGGTAGAGGAAGAAGGGAGCGAGGAGGAACAAGAGAATGGAGATGAGGGCGAGGGGGAGGAGGAGTGGGAGGATGAGCTTGCGGAGTGCCTGCGCCGATGTCACCAATTTTCGATTGCAGCCGCGACTGGCACCGAACATTTGGCATAGACGTCGCGCGCGCTCGCTGAGTCCGACTAGGCGTGTTGCTCGCGGCCTTGCCAAGAAGATGTGCTGGCTCGTGGGCCATGCTGCGTCTGCAGGCGCACTTCCCATCCAAGCTCTACTGGGACGGCTGCAGCAACTGCCGACGCCTCACCGCCGCCGCCGCCGGCGTGGACCAGGTCGACCCTCTGGCGCCGCTGCTCTACGCTTGCTGCCCCCCGAACACACATGCGGCGCCGTCGGAAGGAGCTGCGCAGGGCGTCACAATTTGCAATGAAACCCGCCGCAGACATGTGCGTCCTCGCCCGATTTCCCGGACAGTTCGGTTGAGGGAGGGAACCCTGCAACTTTTTGCGCTGATTTGCGTGAACGCCCCCGCCCCCAGTTCGATGTTGGCGGGCTGCACCGCGATGTGTCGAAATGTCGACTGGCCGACATGCTGCACACCGCTGGCGATGCCAACCAACATTGAATCGCGGGCACGGGGGGCGGGTTGCAGTTTGCGCCGGCACCTCCGTCGCGCGGGCGGTGCAGGATTTTGCCTACCAGCCGTTGCTTTCGCAGCGAAGAGGAGTGGCAGCTGGAGGAAGGATACCAAGGACTGTACAGCCAACTTGTGCCCTGACCGCAATTTTTCAACCCAAAGCGCGAGCTCACTAAGCTCGCAGCACCCCGACGCCGGCGAGAACGCCACCGTTGGCAGGGAGGTTTGGTAGCTTGCCCCTCGCCCCTTGGAGGGCAGTTCTCTTTACTTTCCTGTTTTTGCAAATAAAGTAGTTTGATCACCCCCCAAGCGGCGACCGTCGCTGGGGGGGGAATGGCTACGCCGGTGGTCTTCGCACATAGTGGTTTCGATTCCTCCATGGTTCTCAACTTGTGACCGACAGATGGTTTCCAGGATGTTTTCCGTGCGCGCTGAGGCCATCGCAGAAGGCTGCAGGAGGTGAAAGGCGCACTTGCAGAAGGGAGGGTCGGTCGGTCGGACTCGGCATTACAACAATCTGCGCGCGCCGCCTTCAGGGAGAGGGGGCGGGTGGGAGGGAGTGAGGGAGGGAGGCAGGACTGAGGTATGGAGGAGGGAAGAAGGGGGGTAGACAAAAAGGGAGGGAGCCCCCACACCTGGTGAATTTGAGCCTGCCCTGAGGGCCAGCTGGCGACCAGCGCGGGGGCGGCCACGAGCCGCAACGCTGTGAGGGCGTTGGGCACCGTGCGCCACTCATCGGCCACACGCAAGCAGTGCCCCTGGGCAGGAGTGGACTCTGGCGGCGAGTTCCGAGCCCTACCCCTGTCGCCCATCGAGTTGTCTGAATTGTCGATCGGCGAGGGTAGGGTTCGGATTTCGCCGCCGATCTGAGGCGCGGCCTGAGGGGGGCGTCGGGGGGGAGGGGGTGGGGGCCAAACCCAGGCGCGCCAGGCAGTGATGTGATGACCCAAGTTTGCCACGAACAGGGTCCTGAGTGAAAACAGCCCTAGACACATAGGCCTTCACTGGGGACAACTTTTTCACCCATGATAGCTGCTTGACGGGGCCCAAGCAGCCCGAAAACGGAGGAAAATCTCCAGGCCATGTCTTCCTCCAGACCAATGCCAGGATTGGACAGAACCGATTAGCAAAACGCCCTTTAGTGGTAGCTGCCAGGGGAACTCGATAGCGGGCTAGCAACTTGACATCCCCACACACGCGAATGTATTCGGCGAAACGTTCGCCGATTAACGAAACTGACTGGGAACTGCTTCAGTACACTCAAATGCCGAGGTCGAATGAATTGGTGCAGCTTGCCTCAGTCGACTTGTCTGGGAAGGCACTCGTCTCAATGCCAGGGAAAACGGCGAAAACCTCCGTGCCCTGTTTTCATCAGGACCAGTGTGCTCCATGGCGACGCGTGGGCCCGCACCAGAGTCGGCGACCCCGAAGGGTGTGGTTTACAAAGGGTGCGGGTTGCAACCCGCACCCTGGGGGGCGGGCGAGGACCTTAACAGAATTCTTCGCCGCGTCCCGAGGAGGCCCGACGAGGGCAACGTGGTGCCCCCCAAGCCCCGACGACGCAGATAGCAAACCACAATCGGGTGTCCGCTCGGGAACTTTTGCATGCTTGTCGCCCCGCCGGCCCCCGCGATACCCTCTACCCTGGGAGTGGATAGCGTGTTGCTCTGCTCCGCGGGGCGGGAGGCTCGGAAGCGCTCGAAACGTTGACGCTGGGGGGCCTGGAAGTGGATAGCGTGTCGCGCCGAAGCGCGGTAGGCCAGAACCAGCGGAGCCACTCGCTAAACCGAAGCTCCCAGCCGTAACCACACCCTCTGCAGCCGCCGACAAAGGCCACTCTGGCGAAGGGTCACTGTTGCCGCGCAGCCGAGCTCGTCCGCGGCGGCGGGGCCAGTGGCCCCGGCGCGCGGCCTGGGCGCCCCAGGCTGCCGTGGGCGTGGCGCCGCGGCCAGGCAGCGGCGCCACAGCATGCCCGTGCGGGCGCCAGAGGGGAGGGCCTCCTCTTCCTCCTCCTCCTCGTCGTCCTCCTGCTCCTCCTCCTCCTCCTCCTCCTCCTCCTCCTCCTCGTCCTCGTTGTCCTCGTCGTCATCCTCCTCCTCCTCATCATCCTCCTCCTCGTCCTCGTCCTCCTCGTCCTCTTCCTCCTCGTCGTCCTCCTCGTCGTCCTCCTCCTCCTCCTCCTCCTTCTCCTCCTCCTCCTCCTCGTCCTCGTCCTCCTCGTCCTCTTCCTCCTCGTCGTCCTCCTCGTCGTCCTCCTCCTCCTCCTCCTCCTCTCCTCCCTCCTCCTCCTCCTTCTCCTCCTCCTCCTCCTCCTTCTCCTCCCCCTCCTCCTCCCGCTCCTCCTGCGTGACACCGCAGGCAGAGACAGAGACGTGATCACGATAGGCTTCTCTTGCGCCTAGCCCAGGCGAAATAGAGACTGACAACACATCATTCACTTCAGCCCGTGTTTATCGAGCGTTGGATATGCAGTCAGTGCAGTGTGGCAAACTTTTCTTCGCGCTCTTCTTGTCGTGCTTGTCGACAGCCTCCTTCCCAGTGGCAAAGGCAAGCCGCAGAAAACAAACATGTCGTTCTCTCGAACGCCTTGGGTCAAGGAGGATTCTGGAAGCAGGGTCAGCAGAGTTCGCGTCGGAGAGCTCGTCGTTCGCAGTCGCCAACTACGTAAGACACGTTCGAATGAGATCAAAGAGACAGGGACGATTTATCGGCAAAACAACATCTTAACAGTCTTTCAGTACTCCCATAATTGGCCTGCTACCATCATCGATTCCTGAGAGAACTTCCAGAACATGCGCCAAAGTCAGATCGCTCATCATACATTCACAAGCGCAGGTTGGAGCTCAAGACTCTTTCAACCACTGTTCGTATGCATGAAGAACATGGGGATTTTGCGGACTCAGGGAGGTAGTGGTGCTCAGTCATACTCACATTCATTCATCTGTTCAAGCTATTTCGCGAACGAACAGATCGTCATTAGTCGTCCCTTGTTCGTGCCCATGCCAATCAAAAGTATATCTCTTCGGTCATTCAGCAGATGGAGGCAGGCTTTGATCAGCTTGTCGGATAAAAGGGAGTTGGCTTCACAGTGGGTTAAGAAACATACGGAGGCGCTGGCTCAGCTGCAGGCGTCGCCCCCGTCATGCGACATGCCTGCCCAGGACGACGAGCTGCCAGAGGACAAGGATGCAGAAGGCGTTGATGCGATGGCCGATGTGGGGGCTGGGACGGAGCGCCAGGCTCTGGTGAAGGCAAGGGCTGCTGCTCGCTCGCCGCCGCCTGGCCGTGCACCGCCACAGCAGCAGCATCAGCCAGCCCAGCATCCAGAGCAACAGTAGGCGCCATCTCAAATTCCAGACTTCGCCGCTCTTCCGCAGCAGCTGTCGCCCATGAGCCCCGACCTTGCCACGCACCTGCAGAGGACCGGTCTCACTGGTTGCAAGCTCGTGCTGCCAGCTTGCCAACGCATCAGCTCGACACGAGGCACCAGTTGCGGCCATGAGAGCAGGCCCGTGCGCGACGCTCGTCCAGAAGCGGCTGCGGCAGCGGCGGCGGCTTCACCTGCGGCAGAGGGCGTCAGACGGCCTGCAGCGGGCCCAGCGGGCCACGGGGACCGCAGGCTCCTCCGAGGCGGATGCCGGAGGCTCCGCCACGGAGGGGCTCGCCGGCCCGAGAGAACGGGAGAGGTCTCCCCGCCAGCGTGGGAGCACGGCGGGCGCCGCTTCAGGAGGTACTCCAGATTTCGTAATAAAGGGAGGGGGGTCTCATTTCGGGGGGGGTCTTTTCCAAGCTATCTTGGAGGGCCTGGGGGGGTCTGGGGACGATGTTTTGGAGGGTTCTCCCACGGGGGGGGCCTAAAACTTTTCGTCTGGGAGGGTTGAGACCCCCTCTCCCTTTTATTACGAAATCTGGAGTAGCCTGGCGCCTGGAGCTCCTCAATCGGAGCCGTCAGGGGGAGGGGGGGGCGAATATGCCGCCCACTCCGATCGGAGAGCAGCCGTGCGCGATCGGCGAGAATGGGCGTTCCAATTTGGCCACAGTCAGGTCTGATTGAGGCCGGCCCCCTAGTTTTGTCAGTCAAGGGAGCTTGGCCGACGACTATCAGCACATCCTGGACACAGCTCGAGAGATACTTCCTCCCGTCCGCGGTCCAGTTTTTTGGCTTCCTTTCCCCGCCCGAGCACCACCTTAGAACGCCCTATTTCGGCCATGGGCTTTACCGATAAACCAAGTGGCTCCAGGGACAAATCCCCGTCTTGGGCCTTCTCGGCGGTGCTTAATGCAGGGGTGTTCGGGGGTTTGGCCGTAAAGACTTCAGGCACAAGCTCCCATGGTCGTGATCCTGCTCACCGGACTATTTCATCGGAGGTTGTTGCCACGCTCTGGGCTGTTTCATGGACGTGCTAGTCCGTTTCGGCAGCTGAATTCTCTAACGACAACTCCGCAGTCGTCAAGGGAGCTCCAGGAAAGGCAGATCTGCTTGATATTCACGAATGCACTCTCGCCCCTAGGGCTCCTGTCAAGTATGCTTCTGCGGAGAAGCAGTCCTCCTTCCAGCATGCTCGCAGCCAAGGCGACAAGCCTCTTAACGAGCTAGTCAG